TATTGTCTACAGTAGAACAATAAAAAAAGTGATAAGTTTATTAAGATGCAGAATTTCTGAAATGAAATAAGGTCACTCTTAAGAGTCCTTGCATGTGCTGCCTGTTCAAGAACTTCCAATCAATAATTCAATTTAAAACTAAAGACTGAAAGCAAAGATGGGGAAATGTTCCAAAACCAGCATTAGGAATCTCATAGGTAGCTACAGAAAATGCTGCTGTTATTTTTGCCAAAAGAATATATAGAGAGAAGAATGTCACATTCCTGTTTTTTTTAATCTTGAATCTGTATATAAATATTAAATACATAATTCAAATTTGAAGATGTTATGCTTAACTTTGAATCATGTAGATGTTACGTCAAGCCTCACAGAAACATACAATTTGACCAATTATGCCTATACATACATTTTTGTGCATCTGTTTATCTTTTTTACTTCAGAATGAAAGGTTAGGCATTATGTTTGAAGGAATGAAGCTGAAAAGTTTCAGAGAATGCAAAACATTAGAATCCTCTTTACATTTTTAAAATATGTAAGTAATCAGACTAAAGTACACAGCATTCATGGGCACAGTGCTTCCTACAGACAGCGCATCAAGACCTCAGTGAAACAACAGGTGTCTTCCATCTGATCTTGGAGATTTATAAGACTTCCAAGCCAACATGGCTAATGGCAATTTCTAGTCCAAAGCTGGAGAACTCCAGTGGGAACGGCTCCATAATCCCTCCCATACAATCTCCTTGCTTGTCTTTGTTGAGTAGGATACATACATTTGTTGAGTAGCATACATTGAATGTTAGAACATTCAATGCTTCAGAAACTTCACCCTTTGTAACTCTTAAAGCTCAAATCAATCATTCTATTCTTCCCCTATTCAGGAATTGTAAACCATTGCAAAGACAAATATCAAAACAGTCATGTACATATTAAAGTAGCTGTGGTGTGTTTTTTTTAAATATAATTAGGGGAATCTCTATTCTATATTGTTAAATGTTTTTTTAAATTTCTTTTACTTTTGGGGGAGCGTGCAAGCAACTTCCTGAAGTTAATGACAAAACAGCTTTTTCCCCATCTGTTCCTATGTATAAGCCTATATATCATAAATGCATATGGCAAATATTCGTCACTCTCAAACTTTTCTCTTACTGCAGATGGATGATTAACATTTAAAATGAAGTCATATAATGCTATGATTATTGCAAGTTTACAAACAAGGGCAGTCCAACCCGTTCCAAACAGGAAATTCTACCCACAACCTTTTCCCATGCTCATTCTCTGGCACCTGGTACTTGGAACATATTGGCTGACCCTGGAGGTAATCACAATTGACAGCTATTATAACCAATGGCATCCATCTGCCAACTTCTCCAAAATCTCTGCTGGTAGCCTGGAGAATTCTCTTGAGCAAAGTTTTTTTTTAAAGGGGGCAAGGGAGAGATTCTCTTGCTTGGTCAGAAATCCTGTGTAGAAAACTGATTTTCACTGGGGGGGGGATGTCTGATCTGTCAAATTCAAGTGCCGTGTGTGTTTAAATTGATCTACAACTGTGAAATGCTTCTTTTAAGTGTATAATAACTTCCAATCTTTTAACTAACTTGTTTATAAAGGACTGATTAGCACAAACACTGGAATCTGTTTGCTTCACATAAATAATCATGGCCTTACATGGCTTTAAGATATATTGAAGATGTGTGTGATTTTTCTTGCTAAAAACAATCTTGTTTTTCTTTAAAAAAAAAACACTGAACGATTGTCTGCATCCACGTCCATCATTACAGAAAGCTGTGGCACTAATTCTCAACAGAGGCTCCAGTATCTCAGAAATGACTGTAAATGAATTGTACTGGCATATTTGAAATAATTCCTTTCACAAACTCAACTCCTGACCTTTCAAATTTTATTTTCCTTTTGTTGAAAAAGTGCTGAAAGTTCACCAAAAGGTTCTGCTCAGGTCACTAAATACAGAAGATAATCAGGAGAATGACATTCCTAACTACCTAGGAGTTGGGATGGACAAAAAAAATGTCTCTTATTCTTGCTGCATCTTGTGAAACCTGAACTTAAGGTTTGAAAGCTAAATTGAAGCTAAATTTTGCATAAAGAAAATTAAGACAAAAGCTCCTTCTCAGTTCTGCCAATCTGATTTCCAAGTATTTCTACCCAATCTTGATCACAAACCAAAGAAATTGGTTTTTTTAAAAAAGTAAATGACACTGGCAAGTCATAGTCATTTCAGACTCAGTTCTGCATTTTTTTAATCTGCTTGTATCTTATAAGAAAATATGTAAGTCAAACCAAAAATTCAAGGTGGTTTCTGAGACAAAGGGACATGACACTGTAAGAGCAATCATTTCAGATAAAATGTCCTATTCAAATGGTCCAAACTACTCTTTACTATATTGCCATGTTGATTTCTCCAACATTAATTCAAAGGCCATGTTAGATACAGAAAATCATGCAAATTACTTTGGTATGAACTATCATACTACCTCAGAGCTCTAGACCCTAACTTAGTTATGCAATCAGGTCAAATCCTGGAAGGAAACATCAGACCAAACAACAAGAAGAGCAATGCAGATCCAACTGCGTCTTCTAAAGTCTATACAAAGAAACCTTCATTTTCACTACTTACAATTTTCTTCTATCCTGCCTAAAAGCAATAAATGTTAAGGATTGACAAAGAATGAAGTTTTAGTTCTTAGCTTGTATATGTGCAGTCTCATTAGTATAAAAACAGAAGAGTGTCCATGACGCTCTGTCCACACGCAATATGAAAATAAAAATTGTTAGATAAAAGCAAAGCAAAGAATAGGTCATAATGGTGTTTTCTTCAGTTATAAATGTTAAGCTTTATCTAGCTATCTGTTGTGTCTAAAACACCTTTTAAGTAGGACATTACATGGGACTGAAGTAGATCAGGTTATCTTGAGACAATTTCCAAACATATAATTTAAACATTTACCCTGTGACTTTTTATCCCAGGCTTCCTTACACTGGCATGACCAGATGCAGGGGACCTGTGATTTTCAAAATTCCTAGGAAAGTCTAGGAAATAGAACAGATAAGTGCAATATTGTGAATGTTAGTTTGCTTTCTCTAGCACTTATAAAAGCATGAAGCACACTAAACCATTTTTCTCGAATCCATTGCCCATTCAGTACTTGCTTTTCATTAACGAATATTTACCTTAATTTTAATAGGTGAATCTATGTAAATCCACCATAACTGACTCCCTATTTTCCAAAAAGAATGTAACATCATATTGGTAATTTGCTTTCAATATTAACATAAACTGAAATGAAGAAGTAATATAGATATTTAACTTGACTGGGGTTTTTTTTTCATCTAAAAGCAATGATTAATAATGGTAACAAAATGTAACAGACCTCCAAATCACTAGTTGCATCACTGGTAGAATAATAATAGTGTCACTGACACCTGGTGCTTTAATTATCCTCAACAGAAAACTTTTATTATGCCAGAATGAACATGTTCAAAACTAATCAGGAAGATTAATCAAAGGCACTATAGAAATCACATACACCATCTTTATTTCAAAATAAAATGCAGTTAATTAACAACTCCATGATATCATTTATGTCATGAAAAATTCCCAACAGTTCCTTTAATTAAACTACCCTCTAGCATGGAAAGTGAAAGTTTTCAGGTTTTTCCAGGGGCTTTTCCACTAGTAAACACAGAGACAGAAAAAAGTCTCTGAAGTTGAAGCCATACAGGAAGAGGTGGGAAGAGGCTGTCAATTTATAGCCTTTTCCAAAGTGTTTGAAGTTGCAAAAAAAAAAAGAGGACAAGGTTTTATACTGCCCAGCATATATTTATACACTGCAGAAAAAATTGCATTCTGTATTTATATGGGGAAGTAACTTTTAGGTGGGGAATCTGTCCTAAATAAATTTAAATTTTAAGAGATATGGCTTACTACTTATCAAAACTAAGCACAATTTAGGTATATTATCCCTGAACTTTCCCAGAAACTACACATTCAACATGACTTTCTATAGGATTATATGGCAAGACACAAAACCAGACATGGCCTAGCAATTTTTAGGATGAATTAACACCTATTTTTAAACTGTATGTTTGATCGCAACCTGTATGTTAAAGAAGCAGCAGGGCAATTGAATAGTAATTTTATATTTTGCATTGGTGTATTTCATGTTTCCCCTTCTAGTGAAACACTTTTTAGGAACCCCAGCAGCAGCAAAACTTTTGCAATTTCTGTAGAAATCCAATTCCCACTGGATAATGTGCTATTGTTTTAGTAACTAAACTGAGAACAGATTTAAGTTAAAATAGTAGTATGAATCACCCAGATGACTTTTTCAACTAATATTTACATCAGTTCTACTCGAATATAAACACCATTAAAAACTAAGGGCGCATGTACTAAAAAAAAACCATATATATATATATATATATGTGTGTGTGTGTGTATGTATGTATGTATATTATACACACACACATACATACATACATTTTAAGAAGTTACTCCTGTAAAACCCACAAAACCAAAAGGCTTAACCTAAAAACATACCCAGCACCTACCCTTTTGTTCAGAAACAAAACGGATGTTCATCCATGGCACAAACTCACTTTCCAGCACCGATGCACACGCATTTAGATGTTTTAATGGGATCTCGTTTGGAAAGGAGGGCAGACTATGAATCACCTCATTCAACTATAATTGGGGGGGGGGGGGTGCGAAGAGATTTTGACTTTAAATCAAAAACCTTTCAAACCCAACCCATCCTAGTTTGAAATGGAGTACAAGAGGAGGATCAACGGAAAGCCAAAAGAGGGGTGGGGGGTGTATGTTAGTTAAGTGGGGCTGGAGAGAAGGTGGGTCATTTAAAAAAGGGCTTGTCTGTGGAGGGACGCCCAATGGGGATGGATACAACGCCCCAAAAGCGGGTAAAGGGGGGGGGGGGAAACCGCAACCCCAGAGGGAGCCAGAGGGCCGCCGCCAGCAGGCTACCGACCTGTCCTCGGAGTCCATGCGGCTCAGCGGCTCCCCGTCGGAGGAGATTTCCAGGCTGCCCCTGCGGCCGCCCGACGTGGCACTACTGCAGGAGCTGCTGCCGCCGCTCCCCGTGCCGTAGCCCTCGTCAGCCCCGGCCGAGGCTCCTCCGCTGCTGCCGCCCTCCGCGTCTCCCTCGGATGCCGCCGCCGCCGCCGCTTGTGGGGCCGCCGCCGCGTGACTGGAGTCCCCGCAGCCGCTGCTGCCGCCGCCGCCGCAGCCGCCAGGCCCTCCGCCCGTGCCTACGCCGGCCCCGCCCGAGTCGCCCTTGACGTCGGCCTCGCTACCGCCGGGGCTGAGCGAGCGGGTGTCGTCGGTGTAGCAGCCGCTGGAGCTGCTGCCGGCCTCGGCCTCCTCCTCCTCGTCGTCGTCCTCCTCGTCTTCGTCCTCGGCGTCGTCGTCGTCTTCCTCCTCGTCGTCGCCGTCCTCCTCCTCTTCGTCGTCGCCGTCTCCGGTCTGGCTGGCGCTCTCCGGGCTGGGCTCCGACATGCTTTCCGCCCCTTCGCCGTTCAGCGCCGCTGGGGGCGGCTCGGCCTCAACTCCCGCCGCGGAGGTGGAGAAGAAGGAAGAGGAAGAGACGGAGGCGGCTTCGCTCTCGGCCGTCTCTTCGGCAGCGTCTCCGCTTGAGGGCGACGCGGAGGAGGAAGAGGAGGAAGAGGAAGGCGGCGGCAGGACCGCGGGCGGCTCCGCCATGTCGCTCAGCTCGGCCGCCATGACGTCTGGGAGTCGCCGCGCCGCTCCTGCCCTGGGAGTCTCAACCCAGCGCGCGCACGTGTACGTGCGGGCGGCCGGGGAGGAGGAACCCGGGCCGACGAGGGGGCGTGGCTTTCTCTGCGGTTGCGGTTGCAGCGCTGTGTGCGGTATGGAGTCCGCCTGCAGACAAAAGGGTTGGAAAGGATTCGCGGACCAAAGGAAGGCAGGCGCATGCGTGCGTGTGTCCTGGTGGCCCCGGTCACTTAAACCAGTGCTGCTCAATCTCAAAAAACCCAGTCGATATGGACTTCAGTTCCCAGAATTCCTTAGTCAGCCGTTGGGGAGTTGAGGTCCACATCTTTTAAGGTGGTTCAACATTGATAAACAGGGGCGTAAACCAGAAGTCTTCAAACTTGGCAACGTTAAGATTTGTGGACTTCAACTCCCAGAATCCCCCAGCCTGTACAGGTGGCTGTTAAGAACTACATGTATATTGACTGAAGAATTCTGCAAATGAGGGTCACACATTTCAGAATTGCCAAGGTTGAGAAACATTGGTATATAGATCATGGCAGATGATGGGACATATCAATATGTCTTACATATTCTTTTGAGTTGTCTTGGTAATAAATGAGCTTGTGTAAGAACTGAGATGGAGGAAACAGTGAAGCAAAATAAAAACGGAGGGAGATATGTATATATTGTTATCTATTACATAAGAACAGTAGCACTAGAAGGGAAGATATTGGAGGCTGGCATGCTAACTGAAATATGCCGATGACACTATTTTAACTGAAAGAAAAATCTTTAAAATATTTCATTTTAGTAAAAATGAAAAACAAAAAGTAGTCTATTGTCAGATATTACAACGTCTGAGAAGTAAAAGAAGCAAACGTTTTTAATTTTCTTAGATCTAATGAGTAAAAAGGGACAGTGGGTGAAGAAGTGAAACATAAGTAAACTTTAGTGAAGAATGCAATGACAGTTTTACAGAATACTATGAAGGATAAAGATAGTTTTTTAAATAATAAAAATCAGAATGGTTCTACCATTGCTAAAATAAGGCTGTGAGAGCTGGACATTGAGAAATACTGAAAGAAAAAAAAAGGATAGATACCTTTGAATTAGGAAATTAGTGATACATTACTAAGAATTTCGTGAAGAACCAATCAGTCAGTCTTCAAATAAGTAAAAATCGATTGCTGTCTTCAAGTTATTATCACAAAGCAGAAACTCTCATGGTGTGGATATGTGATACAAGCAGTTGATAGACCAGACCGAATGACTATGCTTGGTAAAATAAGCATAAGACACTTAGAAGGAGCAGAGCATAATGGATAATTTGATGGATGTGATCAGGGTAGTTATAGGAGGTAAGCAGAGTAATGATAGGAAATTATGGAAGGGAAAACCTGCAATTCATTACTAGAAATAGAGCAAGATGATAAATGTTTGACAGTAAAATCTAGCTCCCAAAAACCCATTTGGGTATCCCAGAAATTTAAATTAGCATGAAGCACATGAGAAGATGTGAAGAAACAAGGACAAAAGGTGTGGGGGGGGGGGAATCAAGCAAAAAGAGGCTTGTATATTTGTTGGTTTATAACTTAGTTTTCTAAAGCTTCCTGACTCAACAAAGTCTAGGTAACTTACCATTAAAAACAACATCACGGTACATTAGACCAGAAAACAGATTGCAAGTAGTTCACACCTTACAACCATTCATTTAGTTCAAAGTTACAGTGGCACTGAAAAAAACATAACTTACAATCAGTCCTCGCATTTACAGCTGTCACCATGATGGTCGCTTGGCAACTGACATGTATTTACGATGGTTGCAGCATCTCTGGGTCATTGAGATCATCATGTTCAGCCTTCCCAGCTAGCTTCCAACAAGCAAAGTCAATGGATTCGCTTACCCACTCCATGATTCACTTAATGACTCTGGCAAAAAGGTCATCAAATCAGGCATGAGTGAGGTAACAATGGCCTTGCTTAGCAAGGTCCCAATTATGGTTGTAAATCCAAGATTTCCTGTAGGCAGTGTAAATTCTCTTTTGTTCATGCCTTTTTTCTTTTTTTGCTATTCCTACTTTTGCTTGTTTATTAAAACGGCACTAGATTGCTGTTTTATTTTCTAAGCTTGCTTGTGGGGCCCTTGTGGAATCCAGAGCAATTCTTGGAAATAAAGATAATATTAGATGCTTTCCTATGGAAATATTAGGCAGAGGAAAAGGGGCTCTTTGCCAATAAAAAAAAATGTCTACAGCCGCAGTGGCACCCAGAGATACTATATTGGAGAGTACAAAACAAGATTTCCCCCCCACAAGTTCTCATATTTTGGCTCCTGCCAAGAACTGGTTGTCAAGAAGGAGAAAGCACTTGTAGAAGGACCTGCAAAATCCACACGTTAAGAAAGATTGTGGCTTAAGATAACAACTGCTTTTTTTTTCCGGGGTCAACCGTGCTCTGCAGTTCCCAGGCCTAGTCAGCAAATACCCCCTCTCTCTGCTGGAGTTCATGTGGAATCTGTGACAGAACTTTTTCGTCAGCTCCTGATGCTACTGGCTGAAGTTAGAGTCCCATCACACACACACACACACACAAACACACACTCCTTTCTATTGTGCCTTTTCCCAAAGCCTTCGCAAAGTGCCCCTTCTTAGGACCCCATCTGCATTCCTATGTCATCAAGGCATGCCAGCTTTCATTTCTCAAACTCTGGGGGACAATCGTAAACCGTAAACTGCAGGAGAACAAAAGCTGTAGGGGGAGGAGGCAAACTGCTGGAAAACAGCAGCTGCCCTAGCTTAAAAAAAAACAAAAAACCTCAGAGCTTAGGGCCCCTCTGTGTGCTCTCTACTCCCACCCCCACCTTCAACGTCCAGAGTTTTTCCAGCCTTCGCTTCAAACTCCCTAATCCGCTTGGTGCACAAACTGGAAATGAGCTCGGATTGAATTACTTCTGGGTGACAGCAACCAGCAGTAATTTAATAAGTCTCTCCCCCCCACACACACCTGGTTTTCTATAAGCCAAAAGCTAGAACTTTCTGGAGAGAGTCAGAATTTTTCAGCCTGGAATGCTCTTTTCCCTCCCAATATTTCTATACTGAGGAAATTCATTTGACGTAGTGAGAAAGGGCAAGGTTTGGGGGTTTAGGGCCTTGGTAAGAACAAAGCTGGCAAATAAAACAGTCTGGGGATATAGCCTGTTTTTCATCTGCCAGAAGGAACCAAATGCTCCTTTTGCCATGGGGCTGTTTTAAACTAAGGATTTGTTCCCAGCAGACAAAAATGAAATCTTATTCCAGTTCATAGTCCAGATCTGTACAGAATTCTGGCTGTGTGTGTCTCTCTCTTTCAATATTTTTGTCAGTCTTCTAAGCTTTGTGGGGGAACAAGGTTTCCAGGAGATGCTGAAACAGGTCTAAAAGTGTAGCAGACTTCTGAATTAAGTGAAGCCCCACATTTATGATAATGATCCATCACTATCGTTGTATGTACACTGAGAGCTTTTGCACCGGAGACAAATTCCTTGTGTAGTCTAATCACATTTGGTCAATAAAGAATTCTAATTCTATTAAATGTCCTTTCCACTCTATGAATCCTTCCCAGGTGAGTCAGGCGATGAGCTAGTTTGCACAATTACACCACAACTGTAGTCCTTACTGTTCTCTTAGTGCACTGATGATGATGTTATGAACCACCAAGCTCAGAGAGCACCAAGGACCCCACAGTTCAACCCTGAGATAAATATATATTATCTTCTACCCGTAAGCCACAGGTTTTTAAATCTTGGTTTGAATGTATTGAATGTATTGCATGAAGTCAAAAAAATTTCAAGGAGTGACATAGCAGCACGTTGAATGATATTGACTTCACAACCCATCTAAATCTAGGTTCCAATCTCAATCTTGACTTTGGAGAAGGAATATTGGTGCAAAACAACTGTTTTACTCCTGCTTTACTCCTTTGGAATTGCTTATTGCCCTCTTCTCTCTTTCACACATCTCCCTTGCTAAAGTTCCTTATGTGGCTCTTATACTCTTATAAAGTTCCTTTATAGGTTTTTGCAGGGCAGGTGTAAACCACAACTGTTAATGTCACAAGGCTACGTGGAATAACTTTATTTTCCAGAGAATTTTTGTGTCTCATTTTTCTCATCCAACATTCAGTCACTGAGTGTTACCAAATTCTACGCGATATCAGACCAGACATGAGATCACAGTGAAATTTTTTCATAATGCCCTTACAGAGTATTGGAATTTTTTAGGTGTCTTTTTGTGATAGTATGATATGTTTTCTCTGGTTTCTGTCTGCCCCACATTAGAGGTTGCTGACATTAAAGAACAACTGCAGATTAGTAATAGAATACTATTTTAACATCTGGTCTTGGGAAGAGTGTGAGTGAAACAAGGAAAATGAGGCTTTTTTTAAAACTAAAAATGTAACAATTGAACAGAGCAAAGACATAGGGACATAAAATCATCATCACGCTGGATCATTCAGCAGCACATCTTTCTAGCTGAGTTACTCAATATCCTAGTCTTGGACTTTATTTTACTTTACAAAGTGGACTTTACTACTTTGTATGAATTCAGCCATAGGGGAGTACAGGCAGTGGTGGGATTCAATTTTTTTTACTACCGGTTCAGTGGGTGTGGCTTGGTGGGTGTGGCAGGGAAAGGATACTGTAAAATATCCAGTCAGAGGTGGCATTTGCCAGTTCTCTGAACTACTCAAAATTTCGGCCACCGGTTCTCCAGAACTGGTCAGAACCTGCTGAATACCACCTCTTAGTACAGGGGAAAACACTTGCACTATCCTGGACTGAATTTTCATGTCAAGCTCTTGGCAAACAATTTCAATCCAAACCAAGATTTTCTCAGTCATAAATCAACAAGGTTTATTGAGGGGGAGAGGTTACAGAAATCCCAGCAGTTTGACCTTGGTTACTGAGGGAAGGATTCAAGCCAGAGATGTTTACAGGAGTTGGAAGAGAAGACCGCGGCGATAATGGTAACCCAACCCTTTTCACGTGTCCCCCTTGCAGATGCCCTCATTTAAATCAGTCTCCCCAATCTTAGGTGAATTAAATATAATTCTGTTCTTGTAGCTAAACCTTTAAATTAAGGAAAACATGCTTAGGGTCAGGTTGACAGAACTAAATATTTGAGAAAATTTTCTCACTTGGCAAACACCTTGCTTAGCAACAGAAATTCT